TGTGTGTAGCCAGCGAGCGGTTTAAGGATAAGCAGTGGACTCTTTGAATGTGATAAAAGGAAGAGGAAGGGCGGCACGGAGATGGAGAAAGACAAAAAAAAGAAAGATGCTGAAAGAGGACGGTGCCAAATAGAGCAAAGTAACAGATTTATTGGAACCACAGCGTTATTCTATTAATGGATTGTGTTGTTGAAATTTTCTGTCTGTTGCTGACTTGCAGTTACGTATCCCAGTTCAAACATAAAAGTTTGTTTATTCCAACCTTGGATTTGCTGTAGGTTGGGGTTTGTTACTATTCCCTGGGATGATGATTTGCCATTGAAGCATATGACATGACATGACAGGGGTTGACGTTAAGGATTTTTACGACTTGGCCTATGGGCAAGTGACTTTCACATTTCATTTGCCCAGAAACTATTTTTACTTGCCCAGTATAATGTTTGATAAATAAAGTTCCAAATATTAATTTTTGTATATATATCACTGAAACATGTTTGTTTTTTAAATGTTTTTTGTAATTCAGTATTTTTTAAGTTTCCAGGTTCCCGGTGTGTATATGCATGCGTCAGATAATGAACTGTAGCCTCCATTACCGTGTTAACATGCTTTTCCATCCTTCCTGCACATTCTATTCAAACTAAACTTTGCTTTAAACTGTTGTGTGCTTGGAAAAATATAAATTGCATTGTTAAAAATCTAAAAAAAACTTGACAGGTTAAAAACTTAAGATAAATCACAAGACAGAAGTCAATGTCACAGATGAAAAACTTTTATTTTAGAGTCACGGTATGTTTATAGAAGATAATACTATTAATATAATGTGACTTTTCTAGATAATCATTATATATAGTTATTTTATACAGGGTTTCTACAGTCTGACATCATTTCAGAATTCCCTGATTTTTAACTGACTCAGGATTCGTTTTTCCTGACAAAATAAATGCAACAAGACAATAATAATAACATAGCAGGTCACCAATGTCTAAGAGGAAAAAATTTAATGAACATTTTTTAATGTATGACCTGCATCACTGCACAGAAGACTGCCATATGATAGCCATATTTAAACTGTGCGCATGGCATACAATTATGTAAATTTTCCTAATCCCTGACCGATAATTTTTAATCTAAGGTTATCTGGGTGGAGGGTGAAATGGGTGGTGGGTGAAATGGGTGGTGGGTGTGTTACTGTACTGCCATCTGGCGGAAAATCTCGCGGCTTTTTCAAATCACGCCAGAATGTGTACAAAACAACAAAAATGGTGCCGGCAACCTTTGTGGGTCCTTTTTTAAGCGAATGTAGTAAACTAATTAAGTCAGTCTAACTAAAAATGTTCTGTATTTTGTTCATGATTCAACAAATTTAAATGTGATTATAGGGGAGTTACTCAGAGCAGCTCCAGTTTTAGAAATACACGTTTATTATACGATTTTATTTTGTATCTATTTCAATTCCCTACAAACTTCCAGGCACCATATTTACGTTGTGTGCTTTTTTTTTTTTTTAGATAGAAAGCATACATTTATAAAAATGAAATGCTCAAATCAAAAGATTAAGTAAATTTGTCTTTAAGTTAATGTACGTTCCACTTTTGGACAATCAATACTTTTTACTGAGAGGGATACTGATGGTACGGAAAATTGCCCAAAGGGGAACACAAGTCAAAAAGGGTTGGGAAACACTGATATATAGGACCTACTCTAATTTCTAAGTTTGAAATATATATATGGTAATTTTACTGCTGTAATTGCGATAGTGCTAAGATAATAGAGATTTAACGTAATAAGTAGTGCAAAGGTTAGAGCTATACATAGTCATATCATGCAGGGCTCGATGTTAACCATCACCCGATCGCCAGGGGTAAGTAGCTTTTATCGTCGGGAGAGTACACTGTGATAGCTCAGTGTGAAAAACAACTGATCCCAGGCTGTTCTCTACATCCA